AGTTTTTCATTCAGTTCTTTCCTGAGAAGTCCCAGGTAGTATAATCTCTGCTGGGGCCTTTTGACTAGTGCTGCAATGTGAGTGCCCCAAGTCAGGTCCTCTTTTAGGATAACACCCAGAAACTTAAAATTGGCCACTTGCTCCACTTGGTCTCTATTGATAAGCAAGGGCTGGATGTCTGATCTATTCCTTCTATAGTCCACTATAAGCTCCTTGGTCTTATTGGTATTAAGGACCAAGTTATTGTCTCCACACCACAAAAACAACCCTTCCACCTTATCTCGATAGGCAGACTCACACACACACACACACGGAGATTAGTCCCACCACGGTTGTATCATCTGCAAATTTAGTAATACTGTTACTAGCAAGAGTGGAAATGCAGACAAACAAGTGCAAACCATTAGGCTAGAAACTGTGACCTGATTTAAGGCAGCTGTTTGGGTCCCCTTTGGGTCTTCCCTGAACTAACTCTCTAAAAGTTGAACTGGACTAATGGGAGCAACGTACTTTCCAGTATCCTGCTCGAACTTCTCAAAGAGGGCTCTCCTAGACTGAGTCTCTGAGGTCCGGGGAAGAGTTTGAGATCTCACCAGCTCCCTTCGCTTTTCCACTTGTCGATGGACCGAAGTCGGTGAAGAGTGAGACTTTGAAGCCTGGGTTTGTTGGCTTGTGGCGAAACTGCCCCCACAAAAAAGACAGAAAATACGTTTCAAAAGAACACAGTTGCAAAGGATGACCCATTGGGTTCTCCAAAATGGATGCCATACAATAGCTGGATTCGTATAGTATGCTACATCAGGTCCACTACATATTGTACACACAATTTGGATCACTGGGCATTCTTGAAATTTTAAAACCATGACATGAGCATTCTCAAAACACAACAGCCAGGGAAGATATGCATAGTAACAAAACAAAAAACCCAATGACCACTTATTCAAAGGCTGAAATGACATCTAAATAGGCTGCAGTTCCTACCGTTTTTATTTTCTGTTATTATTTATTCCTATGTAGGGATCAGAGACATCCTTGAAAATAAAGATTATGCACAGGGGCAGAGCTTTGTTCTATAACATGCCAGCTTCCCATTTATGTCTTTCCCATTTTTTTTTAAAAAAGAACTGCGCTAAACTCAATTCCTACATTATGACTTAATGTGATGTGAGATGTAGCTACAGCCAAATATAGTTTAGTTAACAAGCCCTGTTTAAACAAGCCAAACTAATGAGGCTTTTCCCACTGACCATGACAGAGGTGGTATTCAGCCAGTTCTGACAGGTTCTGGAGAACCAGTAGCAGAAATTTTGAGTAGTTCAGAGAACC